GCAAGCCTTTCAAAATCCATTGGCAATACGGCATTACAACGGCAAAGAAGGGAAATAATGCACAGAACGGAGGGTGCCCACTTTCTTTTGCTCTTCAGTATAGATCATATCCCAATATCACAGTTTTTTAAACAACAGTTGACTATAACACAGAATGACAACTGAGACACCTTTTCACCAAAAGACAACTTGCAGAGAATATTACGAAAAGGAGTAAAATAAGCATTCATTTTTATATTTATTTATTTATTTATTTATTTATTTATTTATTTATTTATTTATTTATTTATTTATCATTACTAAAATTTATGTATGTATGTAACAGAAAGTGAGCAGAAAGGATTATTGTTGAATGTAAAGAAAACAGAATGTGTGGTAATATTTTTTAAAAAGCAGCAAATCCTAGTTGTAATCTCAGTGGCAAAAGTTAAAAGATCAAACAAGTCCAACGGTTTAAATATGTAGGATATATTGATAGCATCTAATGCCAAATATTCCACAGAAATAAAACGGAGAATTACATTCCCCCCGGGGCAGTGCTACTGACTGAAGTGTCTTTAGGCCATTCCCAAAAGGGGAGGGGGGCATTAACATCTCGAGTTCTTCTTCACAGTAGAATTGTAATTGATAATGGGCTGATTCATCAATGTCATGCTCATAACTGTGCCTGAACTGCAACAGGAAACTGCTGCTTTTTCTTTCCTAATCCGGCTATTACTATTGTCATTTTCCTCTACTTCTTTTGTGACAAACCCGCTATATTTTACTGGGTGCCTTGATAGTCGAAGCTGACTTTGCGCTGTTGAAATTAAAGAGGTGAGCAAAGCAAGTCTGATTCCCTGTAAGGACTTCTCTGTTGACATCCACCCCTTGGCGCTCAGTATGACCTTATTCAGTTGCGAGCGCCGTAAAGACTATACTAAAGCAAAAAGAAGGAGAATTACAATGGCTAAGGCGATTTTCAATAAAAATGAGCCCAATCCTGAAAAATAGAAACATCTCAATGACTGCCAAAATGAAAGTTCTGAAATGCTATGTATGGTCAACCCTCATATATATGGCTGTGAATGCTGGACAATTGCTAAAGACAGTGTGCTAAGAGTATCGTGGAAGGAAAAGAAATCAAATGAGGTAGGCCTAGTACTTGAAGAAGCCCACCGTGGGACGCTCACTACAATCAGGAAACGATCAATGCAGTTTTTGGGACACCTGAATTGATATAATATAAGGGTCTTGAACATCTAGCTCTCACTGACAAAATTGATAGCAAACGAGGAGGGGTAGGCCCAGATCGAGCAACCGACTTGGAACCTAAACAGATGGGTAACAGGGAAAGATCGGGGAAACGTAGCTTTTGAGCATCCGAGGGAAGAATGGAGAACTATGATCGTCGATACTTGTCGCAGATCTTTCACTGGATTATAAATTTACAATGATGTATTTACTTATATACATGTATTGTATTTACATCTTTTTTAAGGGGGGTGGGGGGGGGGGGGGG